CTTTGCTGTGATTCGAGATCTTCACTTAAGATGTAACCCCCAAGACACAGTCAAAAGCTAACAGCTTCCTGCACAGCAGCAACAACATTCAGTACATTCAATACAACATAAGAAACCACCTCCACTAATCCTGTCGGGCCGGGATGTGGGGTTAGGACTAGGGATTTCGCCTTTTGTGAGCAAAATACAACATAAGAAACTGAAAGAGCCTTCTAAGATACTGTAGTGTCTGTATCACATACAGATCAAATCAAAACTATAGTAATTAACTTTCATTTAGAGCACCAGCACTCACTAGGGATTCCAATATACAACATAAAGTGCAGTCAGATTAAAAATCCAACATTAAATTGCACTGGACTTTTGTTATGTAACAGTAGAACAACGTCAAAGACTGCAACTTTCCTATCAATTAAAAGAGCCCAGACTGCTTTTCACACTACACGTAGATCTTTGCTGAATTCCCACAAAGTTAACTGAGATAAACTAAGATCTAAATGAAACGGGCATTTGCTGAACCTCTTAGATTCTGTGAAAAGACAGCAAGAAGATCTTCATAGAGAACCCAGAGGGAGAGAGAGAGAGAGAGAGATACCTGAGAAGAGAGGTACTGTCGAGTGTGTTATAGCATTGAAGGAGTTCCGTAGCAGACAAGCGAAGAGAGAAGGATATAAATGGAGAGCATAAAAAGGCAAAATTAAAGAAAGGAAAACAGAGAGAGTTGCTGATTTGTAGATAGAGAAAGAGACAGAGAGCATGTGTGTATGTAAATATGTAATGTAGTGAGAGAGAGAGAGAATGTGAGCTGTGAGTTAACGGAGAGAGAGAAGAGACGGAGGTTGAAGGCGACGGACCACCGACAGAGTGACAGACAGCTGATGAATGAAGGTGAGGAAGTGAAGTGCAAGCAGGCTTGACTCTTGACGGGCTCCCCATTTCGGCTCGGCTTCGGCTTATCTTCATTTAAGGCAAAGGGGGTATATTTTGGTTCAAAGTATCTGAGATTACCTTGAAAATCTGAGAAAGATAATCTTAGATTACCATGTTTGGTTTAGGTAATCTGAGAGGGTAAGTAATGTAAGATTATTGCCATGTAGAAAATGAGGGTATATTTAAGGTAATGTAATTACCAAGTTTTAGTTAGAGCATCCTTATCAATTGGAGATATTAGGGGGAGAATGTAAGAGTGAGTATGAAAGAGAATAATGTGATAGGGGAGGGAAAAAAATCAAAACTGATTTTATAAAAAATATATATAAAAAATAAGCATGTCATTTCTCTATTGGTTCTCTCTCCTCCATCATTAATTCTTTTTCTTGGGAGAGTAATATCCCAACATTTGCAGATGCTCCCCACCCCTTCTCGATTCTCTCTTTGTCACCATGACATTTTGACCTCAAAAGTAGTGAATTCTCCCCCATTTCTCCTCTGATGTAGATGCTCTTAGGTAATGTGAGATTACTTTTCAATATTTCAAAATTGTCCTCATTTATTTCTCTTCTATTCATTATATAGACCTTATTATTCAATTATTATTATTATTATTATTATTATTATTATTATTATTATTGAATTAGATCTTAACAGTACGCATTATATTATTATTATTATTATTATTATTATTATTATTATTATTATTATTATTATTATTATTATTATTACGCATTGCATCATCATCATCATTATTATTATTATTATTATTCCAAAAGGCTGAACTCCAACCCTAAGGGCCCCACACCCCGTCCCGACAGAGCATTTGGGAGGATGTAAATCATGGTGACTCAACTGAATATGAACCATAGAGGCTAGACCGGTGCTCACTGCGCACAAGGAGCCCCCCTCACTTTGAGAGGTTGCTCACAAACTGCCGCTGGTGAGACTCGATTATTTTGAATTTTGTTAAATTTTGAATTATGAAAAAAAAAACAAAAAAAAAAAAAACTTGCAATTTACACTTTTCAATTTCTATGAGGACATTTAAGTAATTGATGTAATATAACTTAAAATATAACCTTCAACCAAACAAGTTAATGTTACATTCCTACAACTTTAACCAAACACATCAAGTAATCTTACATTCCCAAAATCTCACATGACTTACTCCCAAGTAATCGGATTACCTGGGGTAATCAAAGATTCCGTGAACCAAATGCTCCCTAAGATTCAAATTGGCCACTGAACATTACCTGAAAATGCAATTAGGCCACTAAATGAAAAAAATATGCAATTAGACCACTGAACACCCAAAAATGTACAAAATGTATATTATACAATATACTAAATGTATATTATACAATATAATGTACACTCAATACAAAAATGATGTACATTCCCTGAATGTACATTATTTTGTACTGAATGTACATTATTTTACAGTACACAAAATATGGTTCATGGTCCACACAATAATGATCGAATTAACAGTGTCTTCAATTTATTTATAAACACATAAATTGTTAATTGTATGTACAAAATATATCAAATATGAACACATAATTTGAATGTTATTTTAGATCATAATTTACAATGTAAGGTATATCTTAATCTATAGTATAATTTGCCTACAATAACATGACCAAATTGGCTAATGTTGTCTCTAGTAACAATTGTATTATTCTATTTATTATATAAGTATAATTATATAACAAACTTTATTATATGAACAATATATTGATGGATTCATATGTCCCAATTAATACAGAGAGAGAGAGAGAGATTAGATATAATCTGAGCCAACTAGCCAAGCCATTCCAACAGAGAAGCTCACCTCTCTCTCTCTACCCATTCATTATTTGTATTGAATAGCTGGCAAAAGAAAACATTTTTATTGCGTTTAGCCATATTGTAACACTGTCTACCGTCTACCTATGTTAGCTTTAACTTCCAAATGCATGTTCTTACTCAATAATAATAATAATAATAATAATAATAATAATAATAATAATAATAATAATAATAATAATAATAATAATAATAATAATAATAATAATAATAATAATTGGACAATAAACAATCAAAACTTTCATATGCTTGTAATTAAGAAATTATTTTGGTATTAAAAATGTCACTGATGTTGGCTAAGTGATTCAATCATCTCATTGTAGTTGTTGGAATGAGTTTGCAATTTGAAAGGTGTTAGTCAAAATCTATGTTATCTTTTTCAGATTCTCGGTAATAATTTTTTTTTTTTAAAGATCTTATTAAAAGAAATTTATGAATTAGATTAACGAGAATTTGACATTATTTAAAAAGAACAATGTATGGTGTACGATTATAAAGAAATTAATGTTACAAAAGTACATATTACGGATGGAAAATCAAACTTAAAACATTATGGTTACTAAGTTAATATCCGATTAACTTATTTGGAGTTGTCCCTTAAAATGTATGTTTAGTTGTACTGATATTGTATAGAGACTTGCTCTCTTTTATCTATACGAAATGTCTTTTTTTCGCAACTATTATCTCAAAAAGTTTATATGTATTTTAATATCATTTTATTATTATTATTATTATTATTATTATTATTATTACTCACTCTGTCCCATTTTGTTTGTCTGATTCGGTTAACGAGACTTGACTGAAGTTATTTTTAATTCAATTTTTCATAATATTAAGTTTAGTATTAGTATTTAAAAATTACATTAAAAATACTATTAAACACACAAAAAAATAAATTTTAAAATAATTAAAAACTACTAAAGAATATAAATAACGAAAAAAATATTGATTTGACTAATGAATAACTGAATAAATAAAATGGGACAGAAAGAGTATTATTTATGGAGTACTTGATATTTAGGTGACATGAGATGTTGGTTAGAAAAGATAATGATTGGAACAGTGTACCATATGAGCAAATGTGGTCAGTGGAATCATCGGTTTCTGGTAACGCTAAAGTCGTACTATTAGGATCTGGGAATTCAGATCTCTCTGGTGGACCCCTTTTTAATTTACCTTTTTTTGTTTATTTAATTGAAAATTCATGGAAGTTGATTTGCCACCGCCCACCAGTGTCAACTGTCATGTACTCCGTAATTAAGAATTTAATTATCCAGTCATTTCCTCATTCCTCAAGTTATTTCATATAATTAAATTATATATTAAAAAAATCAACTAACAAGGGCAATAATAGCTTGGTAACCAGATTCATCGTTGGAATGTCATATATATTCATTTTTATTTAAAAATATTTTATATAAGAGACGAATCAAATAAGAATATACACTTTATATAAACATTCTAGATACGTCACAACACTATCAAATACATTTCCTGACATGTACAAATACATTTAAGATTTGCGATTCTAAAAATACATCACAGCAAAATTACAAATACATTCGATGATATGTAAAGAACACTCAAGACGATTAAACTTGTACATATCATAGAATTTGTTTGGTAGTATTGCGAAGTGCACTCAATTTTTAAAATAATTACCAAATTGTAGTGCATTTTTTCATTGATTCAGCATCGTTGATCTTCTCAGAACAATGGCTATGATGAATTATCAAATTTATCCGGTAGGCGTACCCATATATATTATATATAAAACCAGATTTACAAATATTGAAAGCTTGAATGCAACTACTATTGTATAATATAAGAACTAAAAATACAATTCTTCAAAGAAATGATGATAGAGTACTTATTACTAGAATTATAATTTTTTCTAACAATTATATTAAATTATTTGCGTCCAGAAATTAGTTAGCTTGGTGTTGTCGCATAGAAAAATTATCTCGAAGAAATATTGACAATCAAGCTTAACAACCAGAGTGATGTGCATTATGATGCATACAGGATTAACACTAAATTTAATCATGTTAGTAGTACCAAATCAAAGACTACCAACAATACAAGTTATTCCCAAGAAAATAGTTTCCTTTTAAATAAATGAAACCATACCTATATCCCCCTGATCATGACTTTAATCTCTCAAATACAGACTGTAATATCAATTGTCAACAAGATGCCACCAATGTTGATGCTTCAACTTGTAAAACATAGCTTCAATAAAACCATGGCTTTAATCTTAAAAGTATAAATGATTTTCCAGTCAAAAGAATGTTTAGTCTGATACATGCCCAAAATCCAATAACACCTCTATATGAATCTGTCATACAAAAATTTGTTATGTTTCAACTACGGTTTTATTTAATTCAGTGTACTGCGAAATTCACATATGTTACTTATTGAAGGCCGAGCTTTGTCAAGGCAAAATATAGAAGGGAAAACTAAATGTTATGAGCCAAAATGTGAATAGAGAGAATAGTGGGTTATGAAGTTCAGGTTAGACTGATGGTAGTGGCATAAGCTTGCAATAGGGTTAGAGCTTGATCGGTGATAGCTCTGTTTCTAGCACGCCTGATCCATTCATCAACCACTTCGGCGGCTTGAGTGCCCTTGACGCCCTTCTCGAGTTCATCTGCAGCTTCAATTAGTTTATCCTCGGCTAACAAGATCTCTACTCTATTAATGAGAGATTCAATACCATCACCGGATTTGTCAACCTGTCTAACCTGAAATCCACTCACAAAATCAGAAGCTAGGTGTAAATTTGAACAACAATCATAATACAATAGTTAGTAGTTATACTGCACATACCTTTAACCAAGATGCAACCAAAGCCAAAGAATGTGTCAAAATCCCACCTCCCCCCGGGGGAATCAGACTGAAGTGTCGTAGAGATCCTTTCAAGGCATCAAACTGTAAATATAGTGAGACATTAAATATACCACCTTTCATATGTAATAATAATTAATATCACCAGAAAATATAGATTGACTTCATCTAGAAACCTTCACAACACACATACATATAAAGCAATAACCTCCAGTAATTAGCACAAACTGGATTGTAGGTAAGCCACCAATGCCGGTTGGTGTTGCCTTCCATTGTTAGGAGTTCATAATAGTGCTAGGGCTCGTCTGAAAAGTACTTTTAAATAGCAAACCATTCTTTCGAACACTGCTTAATTTCTCATTCACCTCTCTTAAGCATTCACACTGCCTAGGTGGAGGTCTAGTCTTTCAGTTTCAGGGAAACACAACTACTGCACAGCTGATTCCACAAAAGATCAATCTAAAGAACTTATTTCATTTAGTGAAATCCTAATTAAAATCTCAGGTTTATCCCTATCAAGAATACATTAACACCCCACCAAACAACAACAAAAAAATGAATGAACATTAGGTGGTGATGTCGACCATAATAGTCTTTCTTTTTTTATTTCTTTTTGTTATTCACTGGCAAAAAGGGAAACTTAACAGAATGAAAGGAGCACACAGATGGAGATTCAAAAATAATAATAATAATAATAATAATAATAATAATAATAATAATAATAATAATAATAATAATAATATTATTATTATTATTATTATTATTATTATTATTATTATTATTATTATTATTATTATTCCTAGGCAAACAAGTGAGTAAAAACAGGAAATAGTTATTTAGTTGCCACCAAAAGAAATGCTATGAAGAATGGTACATTAGGGCATAAAACTATACTGGGTCTATCATTAGTGGCAAGTTTATTTTAGGATAATAAAGCAACCAAATGTTAAGACTGAAAAGGAGGAATGCAAGAAACAAGCTTAAGCTAATAACACCATAATCGCAATCAGACATGCAATGGCTCCAGATACTTGCCTTGTGATTCAGTTGCAATAAAGTATCACTACCATACTTCTGTGTTTCTTCAGGAAGAGAAGAAAGGACTAACTCTAGAAGAGAGTCTTTATCAATCCCTTTAAGATAAGGATGCAGAGCTTCTATTTCATTCTGAATTGGTAGCCCTTTGGACAGGGAATCCTCCAATGCAAGTGCTCCCTGGAAGAACAGCAATTAGCAAATAGAATTTACTAACCAAAGCTGATGAATAAATCATATAGATCCATGGCTGGGAATTTTCTTAATCTGATATTGATTTTTACAGAGTTCATAACCTAACACTTTCAGCTAACTCATCATTGCAATGCTTGAAAGGAACAACTTTAAGCCTGTGGAAATCTTGTTTGGAATCCAGGTGAGAGCAAAGTTGTTGAGTGAAATTAGCAACAGAAAAGAACACAGAGTAGCAGTCATTACATATTTACATGTACTGAGGCAAATGTGAAAGATAAAAATATAAACTAAGTGACTTTATCTGCAGAGTAAGTTGAAGATAACAGTACAGTAGTAATACAGAAGATGCATTTTATTACATATAAATATGAGTAGAACAGAAGATGGGTTTTATTGCATACAAATATGTACCCATACCACTTAAACACTACTTGTACTTGCAGAATTTAGAAACAAGATGTGTGACTAAAAAAAGCTCCTCCTAAGATAAGTAAGATTGTCGAATCTTCATTAAAGGTTAAGAGAGAGAGAGAGAGAGAGAGAGAGAGAGAGAGAGAGAGGGAAAAAATACAGAGCATCTTAATAGAAGAAGGCACTATATTTTACCAAAGCAAGCTTGTGAACAGAATGAGTCTGCCTAGCTTCTTCGGAGCGTGCATAGAAAGCCATACACAAGGCATTTATCTGCAAATGAATTGGCAAATTTAAGTTAATGTCCTTTCCTGACATATCATGTGCAATCTCAGAAATAAACGAATGACAAATCATTAATGTAGCTTTCTGATCAAACAAGCAGGAGAAAGAAAAGACCAAAACAACAAAGAATAATTCTTTAGCTTGCTTTTTATATTCCTTTTGCCTTTAAAACACACACACATATATGGATCTACAGAAATGACAACAACCCACAATATTTAATTTGTCCTGTTCCAAGGCAAGAATTGGAGAAGAGCCACATCTTGGACAGCATATGACCAAAACAAATAGTGAAGAATGATCATAGTAAAGCCTTAAATCTTATATATGTTTAGAATATGGGGATTTCAATTTTTTATTTTTATAAATATATTGCATAGGATGTTTGAGCAAGTTTTGCAGGTTCACAATATTTATTTAAAAAAAAAAAAAGTGAGGACACTTAATGTCAAGCTACTCTATTTCCACCAAAGAAGACTCATTGCATACCAATTATCTCCCAGTGAAATTAGTTTTGAATTAGATCCAAAATTACTAACATAGTTTTGGTATAAAACGTGACATTAGTTAGGAGCTCCTACAACACAGTAAATTAGTACAGGTAGAAGTCATACATGAAGATTTGCTTCAGCCATCTTTTCAATTTGGGATGCCTTCTCACTTGCAATAGCTGCAGCCAGTTCAGCTTTTGCCAACTCTTGTGTTTTTTTCAGGCTTAGCTCAGCCTCAGTTTCCTGCAGTTACACATATTGGCAATTTAAATTTGGGAAGCCTTCACTTAATTTACAAAAGTAGATGTGCCTTACAAAACTGCATAAATAATAATATATTGTCAAGAGGAAAAGGTTAGCACCTTTTCTTCAAGCTCCATTCTATGCCTTTCCTCCAATTTTTCTTCGAGTGATTTTTGAGCAGAAACTGCCCTGGTTCTTTCTTTCTTTAATTCCTGTCATTACGCCCACTGGTAATTTTTGGTCTAGAACACTAACATTATTAAGGGGGCAGAAAATTATAGAATGACATAAAATGACTGTAATACTCTTAGAATTAGTTTAAACTAATGAAATATGCAAATGAAGACTTTGGCAGTTTGATGATGCAAACAAGCAACAACTTCTTTAGCATGAAGAGAAAGAAGCAAAGAAAATTCATCAATGTCAAGAGTATATACTAAGTATAAAAGTCAGCACACTTGTTGAATGAGGAATATAGAAACAATAATGGGACAAAGAATCAGAGAGAACTAGGATTATTCAAGAACCTTATCAAGTAAAGCTTCCCTTTCAGCATACATAAGCTCCCTGGCTCTTGCATCCTTTAGTTCCTTTTCATACTTCTCCTAATTTGATTAGGAAGCCAAAAAGAAATTCATATATACAACAAAAGAATAAAAAAATTAAGTGAATTACTCGTGTACATAATCAAAGATGTTAGTTTCAAAATCTATAGCCTAGTTAAATGTGGCAAACCTTCATTATTCGCTTTTCTTCAGCAAAGGAACGGGCATCTATCTCAGCCTGCCTTTTTTCTGCTTCATGAATAGCTTGTAGAAAATCAAGAACCAATTTACCATCCTTTGATATGTAAGCATCATTTAGATCTTCAATAACCTTCAGTTTCAAAATTCAACAATTAAGCAGTCCAGATTTGATAATTGAAGAAGAGTTCTTACATTATGAAAAATCTAAGCTAGAGAAGGTTCCACTCTTCTCTTTTCCTATCACTTTGAGAAACTTGGGGGAGTGGGATAGGTGATGTTATTATGAAAATAGATAATAAGAATTGTATTTCTCATATTTTTTTGAATACTATTGACTCTATTACAAGGTAGTATCTGTTCTATACTTTCTCTAACTACTGCAGCCCAAAGAGTCAATACCCACAACCGGGGTTCAATCCGATGACCTTCCCTCAAGGGGAGTCACAGAGGTGCCATCTGAGCACAAGGGTGACCTAGCAAATTAAATATCCTATTAAGTTAGTTTTGGCTGACCTAGCAAATTAAATATCCTGTGACCTTCCCCCAAACAATGCATCTCATATTTAATTTGCTAGGTCAGTCAAAACTAACTTAATGGAAAAAGGGTTATGGTTAGGTTACCATTTTTCTAGATTAGATGCATTGTTTATTCTGCATATTTTCTAATAAATTGTTTACCGGGGGGGGGGGGGGGGGGGGGGGGGGGGGGGGGGGGGGGCGGCGATGACAAAGTATATACCTTGTTGGCAGAAGCTACTACAGTAGCTTCATCCTTATGTCTGAGATAATATTCATCAATGATGGAACTAGATCCTGTCGTTGAACCATGTGGAGCACCCTGTAAATCTGAGCTACTTAATGAACCATAATATAACAGAGGCAAGTGGTATTTCATTTTGGGAGTATAATGTATAAATCAGATTGTACCTCAGGCTCACTTTGACTGCTCACATGCTGTGTGGGCATGGAGCTTATTTCATTTTTTACTGGAACTTCATCACCTTGTTCAAGTGTTGGAGTGTTTTTAACCACCTCATGATGCTCAGCATCAGGAGTCACATATGGGCTCTTTAAGCCAAAACTCTCTTCGATTTGAGTAGAACCACTTTTTGCATCATCAGATGCCATGGTGCTGTGCTGGGAGTTGGATGTGTCTTTGACTTGGACATTACTGACATCTTCATGAGATAATTCTGGGGAACCACTTACCTGAGACTGGCTGTTGTCTTGGTTTCTGCTCAAATCTTCTAGCTGAGATAGGTCTAAATGACTCTCAATGCTTTCCACAGAGTGCCCCACATTAGGAGTAGGCTCATTTGATCTTTCCTCTACACTAGGAGTCGATACATTTGACTCATACACACTAGACTCAGTTATTGGCTTTCCTGATTGCCCACTATCTTGTTTAATGCTATTGCTTTCTTTTGAATCCTGAGGGTATCCAGTAATGGTGCCAACCTTTGCTGATTCAGGTATTGAGAGTGGCTCTTTGATAAGATATTTATCTAAATAGCCAGTTTGATAAGCTGCCACGAAAGCAGCACCTAATGCAACACTTCCAATGACGAATTTTGACAAAATACTTCCAGACTCCGGGGGCTTGCCAGTTGAACCTGATCCCTGAGGTCCATTCTGTTGGGATTTAACTGAAAATTCCTTTCTCAAAGAAAGATATGAAGGTACCTGCTCCCATTATACCAGCAACATGTAAACAATAATTTGTCAAGCATAAGTACGTTAAATCAGCATAACTATTTGGAACAACTCTGAAAATCCTTCATGTGACAGAGACAGTTGTGTATAGAAAACAATATATAGACAAGAAACTCATTCATATATGCACACATAGCAATGTTGGGGATCTTAGATGCATTCAGTGCCAGAAAGATTTCATTTTATCGCTTGCTCTGTCATCTTGCAAAGCCTCCTTGACTCCGACTCACCACATATCAAACCATTCCAACAGGCAAGTTCACACAGGACCCAATGGTACCCGCTTTTACCTTCTATGCTATCCATCTTGTCCAATCAACAAAATACAGAAAGATAATAGGTAGCAATAAAGACACAGGTCAGAGCATGGTCAGGTAATTCGTTTAAGCTCCCATTTCTTAAGGAAGGGAGAAATCTTCACCTAGGAAGATGTTTGCCTCCATGTTTTCTACAACATATGCTGCTACAACCAACAAATATTTCCCAATTATTTCCTAAACCGAGAAAATCCTAAAGTATGTGTATTAAATATTCTTCAAATATCAACAGCTTCCCAGTTGCAAAAACTTATTCGGAAATCCATTAACTCCCCTGCCCTGAAAATCATTTTTAATTCTTCTTTTGATTTCTGGTGGTAATTTTGGGTGGGGGAGGGACTTTTTTTTATTTTATTTTTCCTTTTCCACTCAAGACTGTCATAATACAAGCATTTCATCATGCAAACCTTCCAACTGCATTAATCAACCCAAACTCTACACACTAGTACATGAATTCAGCTTTATACGATAATAACTATTACAGACAGCTCATAACGAAATTCAAAAACATGCCTGCGTCACAATCTGAGCAGGAAGCCTCTCTACTGATCTACGCCTCGAAGCTTCCAAAATGTACCTGCAAAACGTTTCAAAATGACAATTCAGAAACCCTAAATCGCCGGCAATCACAAAATCATAATCGAAAAAAACGAGGAAACCAGAATTAGATGAAACACGGCATAAAAATTAAGCGCAGCCGGGATCATTCAACTCCTTCATTACACAACTGATCTATTAACAATTAAACACGCATGAGTTCATATCATCATCATGATGCCGATACAAGTGTGTGGCTGCGAGTGCAGTACCTCCGCAACATAATGGGGCGTGGAGCAGGAACTGAGAGCGCCGATGAGCAAGCTGCAAACCAATGGCGAATGGAAGATGGAAGTATGAAGTTGTCCTTCTGGAAACGTTCTTTGCTGTTCAGCTCTACTCCATTTTTCTTTCGGGATATTCCTTTTTTTTAGCCTGGTAATTTAGTCGCTAACCGAGGTTAATTACTAATTTACTACTCCGTAATTTAGATGAGTAACATAATAATGTAAGTATGTTACATTGTTATGGACTTAAGGGGAAAGTTAATCAACTCCCTCTTTTATTTTTCTTTATTAATTTAATTTTTTTACAATTCGTAAATTAGTGTTGTAAATTGTTTAATATATATAAATAAAAACAAACCGAGTACAATTTAACATCAAACATCTAACATATTATAAAAATAAAAACAAGTCAAAAACAATTTTATGTATACTTTATTTGTCTCATTTACCTGCAACTCTTTCTATTTATTTATTTTCATTCATATTTTCTCATAATTTTTTTTATTTAATAATACTTTTAATAAAGTTTATAAATATATTAAAGTTTATATACTCATTCAAATCTAATATTATTGAAATTTGATTTGCAACTAACTTAAAGAACACTTGTTAACAACAAATAAATAAATAAATATATATATATATATATATATATATATATATATATATATATTAATACAAATTTTGTACAGTATATAAAACTTGTCTCTTTTTTTTTTCACTCATATTTTTTTTGACAAAATAAAAAATATAAGTTACGTAAAATGCCATGATGAGGTCAACTATGTTTAAATTTAATGAAGTTCATGAAATGAAATATTTGTCTTTATTTGTGACACAATTATATATTTTACTTTCTGACGTTGTTATGAATTAATATGAAAGAATTATATATATATATATATATATATATATATATATATATATATATATATACTTTGGTTAATTTAGTTTTTTTTTTAATGTTTTCATCGATGAATTAATTTATAACAAAATATCTTCTTTATGTATTTATTAATGTGTGTTTTTAATGTAGTTGTAATTTATTTTTGAGAACAACGTAGTTGTAATTTATGATCTTTGAAAATTATAGATTATAGCAATTAGTAAGTTAAATAAGTATTAAATGAAGATAAAATATTAAGTTTTTTTTTTTTTTAATGTAGGTGAACACTATTTACTTTAGTAGAAACTAGAAAGTTATGAAGTATTTTGTGTACTTAGTAATTTAGTTTTAAATACTCATTTTAAACTAATTTATATACTCATTTTATGTATTTATACTAATTTATACTCATTTTAAACTAATTTATACTTTGGTTAATTTAGTTTTTTTTTTAATGTTTTCATCGGTGAATTAATTTATAACAAAATATCTTCTTTATGTATTTATTAATGCGTGTTTTTAATGTAGTTGTAATTTATTTTTGAGAACAACGTAGTTGTAATTTATGATCTTTGAAAATTCTAGATTATAGCAATTAGTAAGTTAAATAAGTATTAAATGAAGATAAAATATTAAGTTTTTTTTTTTTAATGTAGGTGAACACTATTTACTTTAGTAGAAACTAGAAAGTTATGAAGTATTTTGTGTACTTAGTAACGTTTCTCGTTTTCATTCTCGGCTTTTAAATTTTCATTATTCACTTCACATGTGAAAATACAAATAAATTGTACAAGTAAAATGAAATTTGTCACTATTTCACATAATTAAAAAGAACATCACCCAATCTTCCACTCATGTTATTCCACTCTTTTTTTTTCTTATTCTTTTTTTTTTTAATGCTATGACTCTATTACAATGTAATATATGTTCATAACTACTTTTCCAACCAAATGAAGCACAAAGGGCCAATATTGCCTCCACTGATGCTCGAACCCACAACCTCCCCTATAAGGGAGCAACTTGTATTTTTGTTATGCCCTCCTCTCTTTTTATTCTTCTTCTATTTTTGTTTTCTAATACATTTCCCTTCCCATTTAATTGTTAATGAAGTCTTCATTTTTTATTTTTTATTTTTAGTTCCACATGTTCTTATTCTTTTGTCAAGTTTAGTTTATCACCATAATATATATATATATATATATATATATATATATATATATATATATATAACCTCAATATTATTTTTCTTTTACATTTACTGGTTCAATTATTATAATAATAGAGCTAATAAATTTTTCTTATCTACTTCTGTTTTTATAACTATGTAAGTATGTGACGTTCAATTTCCATACCTCGTGTTGCAAAATATTTTGGTGGAGTCAGGTTATGAGTAAGTTGTCCAATAGTTGATAAGAAATAATACGCATATCGACTCTATTTTAAATATCATTGAATCATGAGAGCAGAAGTTGCTAAAACCTCATAATATCAAGTTGAAGCATATTCACCGAGAATAAAATAGAACAACATATGCCTTTATTATCCCATCCATTAGTCGAATAGATATGTGAAAGGGTTTGGTTGTCCCTTTCGCTAAGTTGTTGCAGATTGATATATGATGAGTGCATTGTTCCTCATCCAAAACAAGTTTCAGAGTGTGGTGGGAGCAACTCCAACCAAGTTAGTCATGTTTTACATGCTGAAGATTTATGCGTCGTCCGCCCAGCCGCTTACGAGGGGCGGCTCGCTTCCTCAGGCGCGCCAGCAGCCGAAGGATGATGAGCGAGCCGTCTATGCGGGTGCGCGAGTCGGCGGCCGAGCAAATCGAGGAGAGGCTGAGCGATTGGGCCTACTCCAAACCTATTGTGTTTCTCGATCTCTTTTGAAATTTAGCTTTCGTCATCGTCTCGGTATCTGTGCTAGTGATGAGCCGTGACGAGTCCCCCATGATGCCGCTCAGGCTCTGGATTGTCGAGTATGATTTCCAGTGGATAACCACAACATTATAAATTCAACTCTAAGCAAAAGCGACATTACCGACATATTAATTTGGATCTACCCTGTGCACACTCGCAGATAACAAATTTTCATCTTTGCCACTAAAAGAAAAAAAAGATGAGTAAGGAGGGTGCATGGCTAGCAATTTGTGTTAGGGTTTCCCTTCAAATTATTCAAATCTTAATTTTTAAAAAAGAAGAAGAAGAAGAAGAAACATTTTAACATGAGTATAACAGAAAAACCTACTCAACTGTACCTATATATACAACGTAAAAATAAATTTACCCTCTAAAAGAAACAAAAGAAAACCCGGAAAAACAGCCCAAAGTACAGAGAAACAAGAATCTGCCTCTCTGCGCTCTTCCCTCCTCTTCTCGTCTTACGTTTCTTATGTGCCCCGCCCGCCATTCCCAAACCTTCAAAACCCTCATAAGACACTGCAAACAAACGTTTTTTTCTGGATTCATTCAATCTCGTCTTCCCAGTGTGCGTCGCAGCTGATCAAAACCCTTCCAAACTCTCACTCTTGGAAGCTATTTATTCAGAGATTCGCCAGCTCGATTTGTCGTTGGTCTGAATCGAGGCTTTGTTAGCCGTTTAGCATTGCTAGGTTTTTTTTCTCCTTCACTGCTCAGATGCAAATTTCCAATTTTTGCGTAATTTGTATGAGTCTGCTCTCTGCATTTGCTCAATTGGGTCATTTATAAGAAACCCTTTTGAGTTATTGGCTTAAAGATTCAAACTTTATCAGATTTTCCTTAGAATTTGGGGTTCTTTCCGTATTTCTTTGATTTTCGAATTTGGAGTCTGTTCACGAATATATGTAGGGTGGTGGCGGCGTGTGGGTGGGGATGAATAGTGCTTTCAACGAAGAGATACTTGCTGACAAGCTCTCCAAGCTCAACAGCACTCAACAGTGCATTGAAAGTATCCTTAAAAAAAACAAATGTTTTCATTCTATTGATGCTTGATTTCTGTTACTCTCATTATAATTTCCGAATTTCTGTTATCTTTCTGATGGAACAGTACTTGGAATTGAAATTTGAGTTGCTTTTACATGATTTTAATTTTGCTTTCTGTGTTAATTGGCTACTTTGAGTGGCAACTTGTACCTGGGGGTTTTTGTTGGCTGAATTGATTATTTCCAGTATGAATTACTGCACTGTGGGATAATGTATTGATGTTCTCTTTGTCATGGTTTATTGGCTTGTCATTCATTTATCCTTTATGTAGGAAACAATTACATTATTGGCTTTGGTCAGATTTGGTGATTTTAAGTTCTGTGTTAGTTCGTATCTTGGGTTTGTTTGACGACTGTTTAGCCTCCCTTGACTCCTTATCTTTGTGTCATATTAGTTTTTTGAATCGGTCAACGAACCGTATAGCCCTGGGTGTATTGTTCATTTGCTTGGTTGATTAATGATAGCATTTGGTGGTTTTCAAAAAAAGTTTAGATTTTTGTTCATATTTACAGATTACAAATACTAATGGAAAATTAATTTCGGTTATATGCTTGGCCGTCACTAATTTGGAAATAATGGCATCATGCGTACCCACATCCACGTGTATATTCTTATTTTATTTTATTTTTTGTTAAATACATGCCACGTGTCTTTTATATGGAAACATTCAATGTTCGGGCAGAGTCTGAAAAGAGGAAGCTCTATATCTATTCATGTAAATTCTCCCCATTCTGTCTACTAGGGTTACGAACTGTGACCAATAACGTTTGTGATGAAGAAACGAGATTTCTTTTGTCTTTGCCACAGATGATTCATTACCTAGAAAGATAAGTGCTTCGATTTTACAGAGCCTTCAATTTTGTTTGTTTACCTTTGTTGCCTAGCATTTTGATAAATAGTACCAAGCAAATCCCATGAAAATAGCGGTTATGATGTAAGAGTTATATTTGATACCCTTCAGATTTCTTAGACGGCGAGTTGTTGAGATACCAATGTTGAAAAAATCGCTAGGCGCCTGGGGATTGCTTAGAGCGCCTAGGAGGCCGACAGCCTAGCGCCTAGGCGCCGATTAATCAGCGCCTAGGCGTGATTTTTGCAACACTGTGAGATACCTGCCCTAATTTTGGTATTCCATCTTGTTTTTCCACCTGATACGCTGTCTGATGTTGGGTGGCATGATGGCTATCGACTGAATGGTCTCCAAGATGTTGAGTGTCTATTACTTGTAAACTTGACTAAATCTTTTGGGTTGCATTGACAAAAAGCTAACTAGCTCTCTGAGTTTCTTTTATTTGGGTTGTTTAAAATCCTGCGTCTCTTTGTTTTTCTTAAAACCTTATTGTTTTTCATACAAAGTCATGAAATGAATTTATAAATTAACCATGAAAGTAAGGTTCCATTGAGATTGTTTTGCTGATTTTAGGATTTTTTTTTTTTGTCAAGAGAGAAAACTGGTGTAGGTTGTTCGCTTTTTCTTTTTACCTTTTTTCTGTGGTCTAAAATATCTTAAATGGAGGGCTAGGTCTGATGATTTCCTTTCAGAATAGACCGATGACTCCCACTCAGTTGTTTATTTGAATAAGTCAGCATGAAGTATAAGTTTTCAAGAAATACTTTAATGGTCAAGAGTTCTTTTTTTTTTTTTTTTTTTTTTAAACGTGTCTTGTTCAATGCTAAGGCTGAGTGATAAAGTTGGCATCTTGAAGTTGCTGTTAAAGTTGGCTTCTATTTGCATGATGCTTAAGCTTGTAAGGTGGTATTTGGTCTTTGCTGCTGAAGTTCCATGCCTATGCCTTTTGATTCATTTGCCAAAACAATCTCCCTGGATATTTTTCATGGTTGAACAGAAAGCATTGTAAAATTTGTTATCTTAACTTTCGATATAGCACTGTCCCATTGGTGCATTTTCCACCGGAGTAAAGCTGAACAGGTAGTTGCAACATGGGATAAGCAGTTCCATAGTTCAGAGATGGTTCATAAAGTTCCCCTACTTTATCTTGCTAATGATATACTACAGAACAGCAAACGGAAAGGAAATGAGTTTGTCACGGAGTTCTGGAAGGTTCTTCCTTCTGCACTCAAAGATGTGATCGAGAAAGGCGATGATCATGGAAAGAACGTGATCTCAAGATTGGTACGTGTTATTCCCGTTTCATTTAAGCTATTGGCTTGTAAAGCTTACTCAGATATGAAATCAATGTGAAAGTTGTGAGATATGCTTGACTGATTATGATGAAATGGCTGATAGGTTAATATATGGGAAGAGAGGAGGGTTTTTGGATCTCAGGCAAATAGCCTTAAAGATGTTATGCTCGGAAAAGAACTGCCCACACCATTGCAATTTGGCAGAAAAAGGTCTCGTTCTGTCAGGATAGTGAAAAGGGATTCAAGGTCTATAAAAACGGTGAGTCTAAAAAAAATTTCGTGCTTCTTAGTGTTTGTATCTCTAGCTTACTTGGTGGCTTATCGTAACATTATTGGCTTGAAAACCAGAAATTGACAATTGGAGGTCCAGCTGAAAAAATAGTATCAGCGTTTCACGCGGTGCTGAGTGAACACACGAATGAAGAGGAAGAAATGAATAAATGCAAGTCTACAGTCCACCGAGTAAAAAAGATGGAGAAAGACGTTGATATGGCCCTCTCAACAGGTACGGTGGTATACTTATGAAGTTTATGCTTTAAGAAAACGTTAAAATGCCTACCAATTCAGTTTGGGTGAATGGGCCTATACATTGCGGGGTACTAAAACATTTATACAAGTCGGTTTGCATGCAACTGTATTCATCTTCACCCCACCCGTCTTTCTCCTTGTTCCTTATGCAGCAAATGATCCGAATAGAAAGACATTGTCTAAAGAGCTGGAGGAGGAAGAAAACGTATTGAAACAATGTATTCAAAAACTTAAAGTAGTTGAAGCAAATAGAGCTGTCCTTGTGTCTCAGTTAAAAGAAGCATTAAATGAACAGGTAACAGAAACTAATTCGTTTTATATATACTCCCATTTTGCAGCCAGTCAATGCTAAACCTGAAATTTTTTTCAGGAATCTGAACTGGAGAACGTTCGCACTCAGATACAGGTTTGTTCCCCCAACCCATACGATTCTTTAGTCTTCTCTATCCATGTCTGTGGCTTCGCCACATATGTGAAATTTTTGTTGAGTGACGAGAAAAATCCGCAACCACTACCCGAGGGTGTGCACTGGGTAAACCCCTCACTGGCCCTAGCTGTCAAAGGACCAGAAGGAGGTAAACCAGCCTAGGTTGTTCATAGTTGACCAGTTCAAACTAAGAAGGCCAATAGGCCGCTCCCGCTAGGAGTTGAACTTGTAACTTAAGTCAACAATCTGACCAACTTGGCTGAGGTTGCCTCCTATGTGACATTATTTTGTTTTAGTGGTTTGTATAGTATCATCAACCTTTAACACCGGATTCATATTTGACATTCAGAGATTCATTGGCTTTGCTGCACATTATTACTTGAATTGTCCCTTTTGAAGATGCACTAATATTTGCAGCTAATTGGTTTTCAGGTTGCACAGGCTCAGGCAGAGGAATCGAGCAACATGCGAAAGCATTTAGACGATGAAGACTACGTGGCAGATCCGAAACCTTTGACTACAACAGCTACGTCAGTTGAAGTAAGCGCAAAGGCGGGAGGACAAACGCAAAAAAAGACAGCAGCAGCAATTGCAGCCGAGGTTGCTGACAAGCTTACAGCATCCACCTCGTCTCAGTACATCATGTCATCGGTTCTCTCCACGTTTGCTGCTGAGGAGGCGAAGAATGCGGGCCTGACAAAGCCTTCAGTAGCGTCGACTTCTTTCACATCAACGCCCATCAATGCTGCAAACTATTCTATGACGAAGCCAGAACGGCCCCTCTCAGATCCAAGCGTTCTCATGCCAGCACAGGCGGTTAACCCTCCTCCGAGCAACCCTTATCAGTCGGTGATGGTGATGCACCCGACAATGCAGGGCCAATTCTCCAACTCCCAAGCTCAGTATCATTCGCTCCCAAACCCACCTTCCCAGCAATACTTACAACCCTCGGGTGGAATTGTGGGTTCATATGGGTATGGCGGGATTCCTCCCGGGCCATCTCCCGCCCCTCCATACTTGGGTCCTTTGGTGCCCTTAGCCCAGCCGCCATTGCAAATGAGTCAGCAACAGCTAACGATGCCCCACCAGTTAGCGTTGCCTCAACAAGCACATCCGCCTCCAAATTTCCGGCCATTGCCCGCTACTCAGCCCCCTCAACCCGGAATGGTTTACTATTCTCAACCCAATCGTTCCCAGTGACTATCTCGGCTTAATAGCTCACAGCCACCATACAATCATCAAGGAAGAAGCACCAGACATACAGAGGTGTCCAATTGACAACATTACATAGGTAAATGCTAAAAGCACAGGTTATAGTTTGCCATGTTTTCATGAAGCTCTGTCTGGTTAGCACATTCCTAGAATGTCCACCCACCCCAGTGTTGTCACCATTGTTGTCTCAGGCATTTTTTTTCTTCTTTTCCATTTCTGTAAAATGATGGATAGAGGCAGCTGACAATTTTGTATTGCAAGACAACCTAGATTTATAGTTAATTCTGTTGATGCCATTATATGGAGTCATTCCTTCAGCCTGTATCTAACAGAAGCCATATCTGTACTGCTCATATCCAGATCAGCCTGTATCAAGCTTGTGAAAGTTTCCATTTAGTAATTCAAAAGATTTTCTTCATGTTTGAGTAAATTTTTACTCTTAGTTTCATATAAGTTCTAGAAGTTTTCACATTTGATCCCATCATCCATGGCTTCCTAGCTTATAACTCACATTTCAAACTTACGTCAGACTAATCTTAAGCCAGAATTCTTACCGAAAAGTCGTTGAAAGAGGTAAATCGTTTCATGGCTTCTTTCTCTCCATTACACATAACTAAAGTTGGGTTGTATTTGAACACAAGGTAACGATATACATTGAAATTACATTGTGGGGACAAAAATTGAGACAAGAAAAAAGACAACATAGATACACAAATATAATCAGGCAGAAAAGAAGGCATTCCTGGCAGCAACAGAAAACCCAGAACGAGGTTCCAAAACCTTGTTCATCATCATATTCATCTTCTGTCCATCATCAACAAGCAGCACCCAAGAATAAGTGCTCCTCAGCTTCTGGGAAACAAGGGAGAAACCAGAGAGGAAATCGATCTCTTCACCCCCACCATATTTTCTTGAATTCTTGACCCGCCTCTCGTACTCCTCTGCCACCAACATAGCAATATCCGCCATAGCTATCAAGAAATACTCTTCAGGGAACTAAACTGGATTTGTTTGATGCAAAAGATGATGTTTTGATTATGTGGGTAGATGTGATATTTGGATTGGAGTACTTATAGGGAGAAAAGCAATGGATAAGGCCGGGAGTGTGAACGCATTTTTGTGCGTTCATTATTTTATTCACTCCGTACTGTTTTGTTGTGTTTGGGATGGTTTTATCCTCGTTTTTTATTCCTATGGTCGCCGGAATTTGACACGCAATTACGCATGATACGATGTCTTCTCCAGCGGTTTTCTTCGCCCTCTGGAATATGAATTCCACTCCGCCTTTACCGTTTACGTGTTGCTATGTCTTTGGCCCAACGGAAAGTGCTTTAGCAGTTTAGCTTCATCTATTTAGACTCCCAACACATAACACGTGTCATGTTAGCTGGTTCAAACTTTCATTGCAAACTTTTGTTTAAGCAAAACAAATAAATATTATCATCCATAGATTAAGTTTCCATCAAAACATTACAAATGAAAAAGGAGGGTGGAACAGTAACTCCTCGCAACTTGATTTAGAAACGGTCTTCCGAGTAAGAATATAGACTGTCCAATTCGCAGATCGATTGAAACAAAAGATAGACACATGACTCAAGAGACTAAATCTATCTTTAGAATCACATATAATCAAATCAAGAGGATAGCCCTAAATTAGAATTTAGACCCTGAACTATTGTTAAAGCATCAGTTTCCACAACAATTTTGGGGTGTTTGGTAGCTGATTAAGTTATTGGGTTTGATTAGTTAATAACATTAGCTGATTGTAGAAAAGTGTTTGATAAATTAGATGTTAACTGATAGCTGATTACATGCAAAACGACTTTCTCAAAAATCTGATCGAAAAAACTACTTTGAGCAACTTTTTGAATTTTAGCGTTTTGGGACAATAAGCTGTTACAAAAAACTAATTAATCAAACACTTACATTTGCTATTTAACCAAGTCAAACAACTAATAATGGTCAAATAAGCCAAAATTGATTGTTTGGTAACTATGTTAAATATAGATGTTTGACCATTATTAAATATAGTTTCCAAACAATCAATTTTGACTTATTTGACCGGCAATTTATATCGTGGACCAGGGTCCATAGTGCATTGTGGACCCTGGTCCAATACACATAATTTAACTTCATAATGTATAGAATTTATGTTTATTATAAGTTTTGAATTAATTGATTACAGCTGCTGCATAGTTTTTTTTTTTTAAACAGCTGCTGCATAGTTAAATTAGTGTACGATGAAAACAATAGATTACCTAACTTCTAACAACTACCTCGCACCTGGCACAACAATGTAAATTTGTATAATTAAATGATGGGAGCAAGTCTTAATTAAATGATGTCTGTCATTAGCTATATTTGACCTCGCTATTAAACACAATTTTTTTCCTTTGAGTTCATATGAGGCAATGCTTATACCGTGAATTAGAGTTCACATAAATAGATAATCTCTAATAATCTCTAATACAAGTTTCTTTTTAGTATACCATAAATTCATTTTTAGCTTATTACAAGTTCATTTTGACTTGTAATACAATAAAAATAACACGTATCAAAATATAATAAATCAATTAAAATGGACAATTTTTTTTTTTGAAAACACTAAAATAAACATTTAATATACTAAAAATGAACTTGTATCAAACGCTACCCTGCAACGTAGACCTAGGTGTGAAATATAATTTGCCCATATATGAGAAGACCAAAAATCATCAACATAACCAAAGGTCAAGGGTTCAATCCTTGACTTCGGGTATAGAGCGTTCTTAAATCTCCAAACCAGTTGCCCCACCCAAAAGAGGTGCATACAACGAAAGGATTAGTCACTGTGTTCAACGGTGAAAATCATAGATACACCAATAAAAAAAAAAATCAACATAAAATAAAGTCCAACAAAATTGTAAATTTATTGAACACAATTATAAAATACTCCGTAACAAACAACACAATCAGACTCAATTATTGTTCTTTTTTTTTTTTTTTGAAGACATAACTGGAGAGATTCCACTGCATGTTATAGGTACATAGCATGTTGCAAGATGTTCATACGTATTTATCACACATACATAATGTTCTGTTCTTAACCACCGACCAAGTACAATGAATAGATACACAATATTTATAGACAAATATAAACAGATATAATAATATATATTTTTTCTTGAAATTGGCAGATCCGACAACTCTTTGCACAGCTTCATCTGGACAAGAAAATTAAGAATCCTATCTTTCTTCACAGCACAAAAAGTTAAATGAGGTTTCTGACAATAATAAAAGTTACAAGTGATGGAGTGAATCACAGACAGACGTCATATTTCTTTTATCTGTTAGATGTTTATCTCAGTTAAATATACTCTTCTTTCTTTTAACCCAAAATCACCCGACTCCGCTCGTCTCAGTTCAGTTAGTTCATCTCGCGTTCTTCAGCTGTTTTGAGTTTCGAGCCCTTCAAAGTTTACAGAAGTCCGAGTGATTTAAGCTGCTGAACGTGCTCTGCCGGGAGAGGTGGCGGTGACCAATCGGATCCGGTCATCTCCCCATCAACGTCTTCCACGACGTATTCCTAAACAAGCGTTGATCAAGTTCAATATCGTAACAGGGAATTGATTATTAAAAAGAAAAAAAAAAAAGAAGGGGAAGTATAAAAGATAAAGAAATGGCGGTGGCTTACTTTAGTCAGCATTCGTTTCGCAAGAATGTGATAGTGGCGCTGCCAAATCCTTTGTCCAACCATTGTAGCCACTAACACGCTGTAGAATATACCTATCACGGTAAATAGTCCAAGCACGATTAAGGCCATTATAAACAATAGCGGCAACCCAGCTTCACCAGCACCGCCTAAGCAACCACTACATTCACTGGCCGCACCGGCACAACCTTCGAAGCATGTGGTACAGTCCGTCCACATGCAAAGTGTGCCGGGCAAATGACAATCCGCACACAGCCTGCAAGGAAAAGATTACAAAGATGAAGCACTCCATCGATATGGTTTCAGAACTAAAAATTGCCAATTCATTAAAACAGAGATTCACAGAAGAGAAAGATAATAATAAAGCAACAAGTACAGATAGCAAATGTCAGTAACATATAAGAAGGAGCTACATGTAAGAAATCGACATTCCAGTCCAGGTATTCTTCAGTGAAACAAGAGATAGCTTAATAGCTTATAGGTTTTCTTCAAATCTTGCAAGTTGTGTTCTAACACAACCCCATCCTTCAGACCCCCTGCCCCACCCCCCTCCGGAAAAGGAAAAAGAAGAAGAAGAAGAAGCCGGGGGGAGAAACACAAGAGCACAAAAATTTGTTCTTTAAGGTAATATTTTAGTTGAGTAATGAAACTTTTTGAAATCAACACAAATAGTACCCAGGATGACAGCAGCAAAGACATAACTCTCGACATGGCTGAGCTAAATCATTCCGCACTCTCCGGTCATAGCAGGTAATGAAGCAACCAGAGAGGCCTAGTAAAGCAAAAAACAGCAGGGCGCCTGCATAATGTCAAGAGAAGACAACATGATGGAAGCATCAAATTTCAAAGTTCAAGTTGTAAAATCATCAGAAAAATAAAATTCAAGCATCAACTTGAGGCCAAAAATAGCGGAACAAAGAAATACAAATATATCTTGGTGGCCAAACACATAACTGCAATCCATGTCTTCCTTAAATCTAGGCCTTACACAAAGTGGTTGTTCAGTTCTTTTGATGTACACAGACAAAAGAGATATTTCCCTTTCCCTCCATGACAGACAAAACGTCCAATCAACTTCTGCTAAAAGCCTAAACCTTATCCTGATGTCCCTTCCACCAACTCAAGCTGGCTATTTCATGACTTCGTCCGATCCTTCCTCACTCTTTTTTTCGCCTTCTTATTTCTACTCTCTACTTTTGAAAGATCGCTTGGAAATTCAGCACAATCCAGGGAACATGAGAAAGAAAACCTGGCAACATCTATCTGGCCATATAAACTTCCAAAACTGTACTACACAAAGGATTTGCTAGAAATCACTGAAACCCCATGCCTTTTCATCCAATGTGAGGCTGTCATTTCAAGTATCCAACAAAGTAACAAACATAGCTCCCTTGCACAACAAACAGTAAGTAAAAAATACCATCCCATGTAAACTCAACCTCTCTTAGGCCTAGTTTGGGAAGGTTGGAGTCACTGCCCCAGACGCCCAAAAAAGGCTGTTTGGTTGCATCACATTTGGGGCATTGACACAAGTACACAACCACCATAGTTCAATTTCTCATTGGACCCAAATGGTCTAGTGAGGGCGCTTGAGGGTATTTTCCCTCAAATGCCCTTTAATTTATTTATATTTTCACAGGGAGCCTTAAACAGGCTCCAAAAGGAAATAGGGTGTGTAATTCATAGTGCAAGAGGAGTCTGCTCCTCAACAATTTTGCACTCCATATGGGACAAGGAGAAGGAGCCTTGAGGCTCCACTTCCTTCACAAACAATGTGGGAATAAACTAAGGGTGCCTGTTCGCAGGCTCCATTTGGTTTTAATTTTAATTTTTGTTTTTGGTTTTCTTTATCATTTTTTTATGGTTTGTAAATATAATTTTGTAAGTATATTAATAAATTGCTATTTATTTTTAAAAAGTAAACTTATTAAAATTATGGTATTATAAAAGAAAATTATATTTTTGAATTTTATTTGCCAAATTTTTTAAACAAAATTAATTTATATTAATATTAAAAACTATTCTTTATATATTATATGGAAATGTTCAGAACAGTAATTTGTTATTTCAATCTCACCGCCACCCCTATTTTTCTAAACAAAGGCTTTTTTCATGACTCTAACCGCCACCGCTCCAATCTAAATGCTACCGCTCTAACCTCACCACCCTCCCAAATGGAGCCTAAGTTCCATAGGGCAGGCTTCTACTTCAGTGGGGGTAGAGTGTGACAAATCTGGTAAATGGTAATAGACAACTATCCTTGAAAGTAAGAGATAGCAATTCGGGGGTAACCCCAGCCAAGAATGCAAGAGATCCACGCTTGTAACCACAAGGTCACGAGTTCGAATCCTTGGTTTGAGCCGGTCAGCTATGGGTAACCTAGGCTGGTTTATTTCCTTGTGGTCATTTGCCGACTAGGGTCACAAGGCGGGGTTTACTCACGCCGGAATGGGTTGTGAGGTTTCACTCGTCATCCAAAAAAAAAAAAAAAAAAAGAGCAAATCCGTTAACTCAAGTAGAAGTGGTCATTTGGTTATTTTCAAATTGAATTAAACAAATTTTCATTTTGGTAAAACCGTTCATTGGACTTAAATACAATTTACTAAATTATATTTTGGTTAACCAATTGAATCAACCAAAATTTTTTGATATATAATTTACTTTATATTATATAAAATAATATTATAAGTAAACTATATTTTATATTAAACTTAAAACTGTTAACTAAACCAACATAATAAGATAACCAATCAAATTATCTGAATTAAATTGGTTAACGGTTAACTGAAATTGTTTTGGTTAACAGTTAAACCGATTTTTTTGGTTAATCAAACATCCGCAACTCCAGTACTACAGGCTGTTGACTATTTTTCAAATGCCTTTTGTTCACTACTTTTTCATTCCACAATCACCAACCACGGTAGTAAAAATTGCAAGTAACGCGTGATAAAACATGTCAACCCATCTTTCTAGGAGTTAGTAAGTAAAGCACGCTGAAAATAGTATTGAGTTGGTGAGAGTTTTACCGCATATATAGTAGAAACTTAGCTCGCTATCAAAACCCCAAGTGAGACGAAGCCAAGCCTTCTGATACAAATCAATTAGATACACGAAGTATCCCAATAAAGCAATCACCTATAAATGGGAGAGTGAGAGATACAAAATGAATCTTGACATTAGAGGGATAAATATGGAAAAGGAAAAAGAAATTGAAACTCAGAGGGACAATGACCTACAAGTTGAACTGCTAGAAATATAAACAGAATGTCTCTAGTCACAAAGAACCGGAACTTTAGAGTTCGCCATCTCCTATCAGCAATAACATGAACTCTCAAACGATATGGAGCCTTACAAGTTGTGCAATGAGCAAATGCAAAACCTTCCTGCAAATACATAGAAGGACTAAATTTTCTGCTGAGTTCAAACTTAATACTAATTCACAATGGAGATGTGAATTTTCAGTTGGATATAATCAACAGAAAAAGGATACAGTACACAATTATAATTTGCCATGATGCAACAAATGAAATAGATATTTGAATTCACATTGAGGAACTGAATGCACGAATCATAAGAAACACATAGTTCCGGATATGTTGCCGAAGTAGAGGTGAGTAAAGCCTAACCTTCACAGCACGCCAATGATCCAGGCATTCCCGGTGAACATACTTTGCAGTACCCTTACATTGGCAAGGGGCAATAAAATCCCTACCTGAAAAGGGAAAAGGTAATAATATTCAAGCACAGATACCCTTCACCCTCCATACAAAATGTGGAATATGCATTTTATTTGAACACACAATATCACCACCTAAAAAATCAAACAATGGATAAACAATTACCAGTTCATGCTCAGAAGACATCCCTTTTACCAATTACCAGATCTCCTTATTAAAGAAAAAATCATTTAAATAATACTATAGCAGCATAGGTAATGAGCGAGATTAGCTTTGATGAGACACATAACATGGCCTTTCAGCCCTTTCTCATGTAAATTTATCAAAATTTCTCAACTGTACATAAATGCCACTAGAATTCTCTAGGACCCATACACTACAACTACGAACTATCATACTTTAACAGGCCAACGAAGAGAATATTCCCAGGAGGAGTGTAGAAACTGCAAAAATGAACAAAATGCACTTTCAAATCTAAATAATAGTATTGATTATATTTCGTAGACATCCAGAAAACCAAACTGACAGCCATAATTCGCGGAAAAGCGAATGCTTTTACACTTGAATCAATATTAAATTGCAGATGCAGCATGGCCTAAAAAAGGGGGGGACAAATTTCACAGAGTTTGGGAAAAGAAAGTAAAAATAATAATTAAAAGAGGAGTTGGTGAAAACCACCGTCAGTTTCGAGGCAAATTCGGCACTGAATTTGGTCGTCGGGGCCGGCTTCGAGGTCGATCTCGGTGCTACTGGCGACGGGAGCGGTGATCGGAGAAGGAGCGATGAGAGGAGAGGAGTCGGAGTGAGAATGATGATCGCTCATTTCTTCTTCAACTGCGATTTCAAGAGAGACTGCAAAATTGATCAATCGAACACGGCCATTCCTGAGCTGTGCCCTAATTCCAAATTCTTTATTGCAATGAATAGAAAATGAAAATCATATGTATATAGATGTATATATGTATCTCCTCGAGCCTGCTCTTTTTCCTGTTTCACCACTGTCCGAGGTTTAGATTAAGACAACTTAGTTAAGGAAAGACAAGAACAAATCCATTCGGTTCATACGGAATTGGTATCTGTTATGCGTCGAGTCGACCATAGTTACCCATTGTACGATTATTTTTTAACCGTATCTTAAAATTATATGAAATACATTGAAAATAAACTTCAAAATTTATTTAATATATTCAAAATGAATATTTAATATATTAAAATTAAACTTCGTAATAGTGAATAATAGCATCCTGAGTTGTCCTCATATTTCATTGATGGCTAAAATTTTAACATGTAAAGAGGCTCTCTCTTAATTGAAAGATCGTGGTGTAACAAAATTCCGACTTAAGTCTGACTACATAGGGGTCGTTCTCGGCCTCTCTAGAAAATTTCAATGCTTTTCTTATCTAAATCATATTTTTTACCTCTACTTTTCCATTATGTCGTATTTTGATTTCGTAATGTATTGTCATATTAGTCGCTTAGTGAACCATACTCGTGGCTAAGTATCTTGTGTTCAAATGACACCTCAGGTTGGATTCCCATATAAGAGGTTGTGAGTTCGAACCTTAGTGGAGGTGTTACTGACTTTTTGTGCTTCAGTAAGTTGAGAAAGTAGCTATGAACAGATACTACATTATAATAGAGTTAGCAACATTTAAAAAAAAAAAAAAAAAAAAAAAAGTGAACCATACTCGTGCATTAGCTAGAGCTGTTGGCTCTCAAACTGACCCCGACAGAGCTGTTGGCTCTCAAACTGACCCCGACATTGAGACGATATCCCACTGAACTTTCTTATTACTATTATGTTTGAATAAAGCTTTTCGTTTTCAAAAAAAAAAAAAAAAAAAAAAAAAAAAAAAAAAAAAAAACTTATATGACAATATTCAACATATCATTATATCAATATGGATCCACACGATATAAAGATCGATATGTCCACATTTTAACCTTTTTTTATTCATAAATTATATTTAAATTTGGTGAATTAGGACCACAATTTATATTACACAATATAGATCACTATAAATATTTATTTTTAGTTTTCAAAAAAAAAATATTTTTAGATAATAACCTAAAATTGAACATGCAGGGCACTAAAATGGCATAAGAGTGAGTAGAGGCTTTTTTTTTTTTTTTTTTAAATTAAAAAATTTCTTTTCCAAAGATGAAGTAACGAATATGGACTTACCTTGCAAAGTGGTTGTCAGCGAAAAAGAAAATAAAAATATTCATTAAAGTTCTAAGCCAAAAGTATCAAAGTTATAAAATTTTGAAAGCATAAACGTACGGCGGAGTTGGAAATTTTGTTAACATAATTAATTTGTTAAAATGATTGAAATTCGTAAATACGTAATTTTATAAAAAAAATCGAGGCAAAAAATTAAAGAACTTTAAAATGTGATAAAAGTATTACTGATAAATATATAAAATATAATTAATTTGATAAAAAGATTGAAATACGTAAAATGATATTCGTAATTTTCTTTTATTTTAATTATATTAACTTTAAGTATTTCTACATTAATTTGAAAAGGATGATACACAATTGAAATTTTTATACTACATTGACTAGATACTAGATAGTTTATAAAAAGTATATTTTTTAAAAAAATAATTTCATAATTGAATTACAAAATAGATTTCGTATTAATTAATAAATAAATTTAAAAAAAAATAATTTCATAATTGAATTACAAAATAGATTTCGTATTAATTAATAAATAAATTTAAATAATTATTATCACACATAACACCTTATAAATATCACAATTAATATTAAAAAGGACAAAAATTGAAATATATACCTAATGAGCATTTAAGATGGCAAGAAACTTTTCAAATCGCAAATCACTAAGGACAACATGTGTCCACTAAAATTGGCCATGATTTTTTTTTTTTTTTCTTTCTTATTTTCAGCAACCTTCAACTCCTCATATACTTAAATGGATGGAGCATATCCATATGAGAGCATGTTCTCAAAGTGCAATGTTAATTTTAATAAAATTTGTTAGTGGTGGATTAAAACTTTCACTTTACACTTAATTAAAAGAAAAATTTTATATAGGATAACAATTCATGGTATGAGGAGCCTGGTAAGAGATACATGAATTGAACTTCTCTTGCTAGGTTTGCAGATATTTGAGGAGCCTCTAAAAGGAATATGACCGCTTTAATGGCTCAATATGCAAGTATAGCACGGTCTCAACGTATGTAAAATGAGTTGTCTTTTTTGTTGTATATAAAAAGAATTATGGTGTGTTTGGAATGTAGAAAAATGACTTCTGGAAAACATTTTCTAAAAAACGAGTCATTTTTCAGAAAATATTTTTCTTTCTCGTGTTTGTTTACCTTCCAGAAAACTGTATTAGGGGTGGTGGTGACGGTGACTGCAGGTGATTGGCTACTCCACTGCTAAAAACAAAAGGGGAAGTCATTTTTTAGAAAATACCCTCTATTTTTCATTGACCACACCCCTATTTTCCATTGACTTCCATTTTCCCCTCTAACCAAACACTGAAAACCCGAAAAATAATTTCCAGAAATCATTTTTCGGATTTCCACACCCTTAGGGATTTGATAAAGAAAATGATGGAAAAAGAAATGAATAATATATCATGTTACAATGGAGTAAAATTTGATATAGAAAGTGAGAATCATGTAATATTACTGGCTGAATAAATTTGACAATTTTGTTGATGTATAGACTATAAGACTATTGATTTGTTAAGGACAGTTATGATGTCTCCTAAATATTGAATTTCTCAGGCAAAGCCGCAGCAGACATTTTTTTGCAAGTCAACAAGTATTGCCGCAGCACAAGGTAGCTGTTATACAATGCAAACGGAATAGGAAATACAGATGCGTTAACCTAATTGTGGATGTTCCTGTTTTGTACTAGGATAGTGCTAGAACAACAATCAAAGGTTGTTTTTTCATGTTGTAAATCTAATTCACTTCTTTCTCTTCTTTGGTGGCTGGACTTCTTCTTCGTCGTCGTCCTCCTCCTCCTCTTCTTCCTCTTCGTTGTCCTCATCTTCCTCTGGGTCTTCTCCCTCGCCTCCGGCTTCCTCATCATCGTCGTCTTCGTCATCGTCATCGTCATCCTCGGGATCTTCCTCCTCATCTGGGTCGTCCGGATTTTCTTCGCCTTCATCATCTTCATCTTCGTCATTCTCTTGTGCACCACCCACACCTCCTCCCAGGCCATTCTTAGAGGTGCCTTTGTTGTTAGGGTTATTAGCACCATTTCTTTCATCATCATATGCATCATCATCATCGTCATCCCCATCCTCATCGTCGTCATCATCATTCTCATCATCTCCATCAGCATCCATAGGCTCGCAGGGGCAAGATGAGGAATTGTCTCCCCTTATTTTAGGTTTGTCCATGAGTAGATTTATGTAATCCTAAAAATGGAAACAGGTAAACTTCAATGCTCATTCTGATCTAATAAAATCATTCAGGCCAACAATTTAATTTTATAAGTTCAGAACTTCAAGCAAATAGGCATGTTTAGTATACTTTTTATTCCTAAAAATTGAACTTACGACACAATGAGCAGAAAAGCATAAACCAAAATGTGATTGAAGTATTGAACTATCAAAGAAGATAATGTTAAGTGACAAGACAAAAAGAACAATACGGTGTATATGCTAAGCAGTAAGCATTACATATATTCATATAAAAGGTAAGACTGAGAGCTACAGTGCGATGTGTATGCAAGAAAATGTTCATTTCTTATGATAAACTATTTGTTTGCTTTTGAAATTTTGTTTTATTGTACTGAATGTTGACAACTGGGTGTGTAACGGGACGTTCACCTGTTGCACCACATAAAAACATTATTTTTCCACTGATGGAATGTAAGTGGGAACACAATATCCTCCAAAACATCATAAATCAAATAACCTTCGGGTGATTAGCTAACTCATATAATTGACAAAAGAAACACAAACACGTCAAATACAACTATGGAAGTTGGCTCTACACTTTTATTGAGTATGTTCCAATTCAATTATTTTATATTATCAAGAAACTTGGCTCACTGCAAATCTTTTCTGTTGAGTTCTTCAAGCAAGAATTCTAATAAGAAATAAATAAGGAACCTTGGAACATGCTCAAAGGCACTTACTTAACGCCAAACTAGGTGGCGCAAGATAGCAGATGGTGCAAAATTATGTCTCCTTTCAGTAAGGTAGGTTTTACCTGCATAAGAGAGAGGAGCTGGGTGGTGACAAGAGCGGATGCTAAAGCTTCCACGGCACACGTTACCAAAGTCTGCTTAATTACCATGGCGGCGACACCGACTGAATCTCCACTCTCCATCTCTACGCCTCTTCACCAACCTGCAGCAGAAAAGCGTTCCATGTTCTTAACTAAAACATGCACTTAATTAAACAGAGCAGACATGAGCTTCTGCTAAAGTCAACGCATCTCGGGGAGGTCGAGAAAGTCAAATATCGCCCCAAAAAAAAAGTAAAAACCTCAATTCTCATGAGAATTGAAGAAACTGCAAGGGGAAATGGTAAATTTTAAACAGCAAAATTAAAAGACTCACGAAAAATACCAAAAACGTGAGAAAAAACTGCAGATTCTCAGATCGAGCTTAAATTGCGGGGAATTTCGAATGAAACTCCGAAGAAAAACGAAAACCACGAAGAACCGAGAACGGATAATTGAAACTCACCAGAACTACAGATCCGAGCTCGTATCGAACAGATCGGAGGGTTTGAGAAGCTAAAACCTCGACAAACGGAGAGGAGAGGCAGCGTTCATTCTGGACCGTCGGATCAAGCAGGGAAATCAACGGAGACCGAGAGATATGTATGTATCAGAAGATAGAGAAAAGCGATAGTGGGAAAAAGATTCAGACTGGAGAGCAAGGAGTGTGAGAGTGGGTTGCTTAGGGGGCTGCCCGTAATCTCTCCACAATGGTAACGGGCACTCGGGCAGCATGGGTCACGGGCAGAAACCTCATTTACTTCAAGGTAAGATAAGCAGTAAGAACTACTCTAGTTAACAAGAGTTTAAAGTAAAAATAAAAAATAAAAATAAAAATTATAAATTTGAATTTTATTAATTTTATTTTTTATTTTTTATAAATCATTCATTCACCAATTAAGTTGTCTATGTAGGTAATTTTTTATAGAGAAAGTTTCAATTGACTGACTATTGCACTTGACTTTCAAAAATATTAATTTAGTATTTTGACTATGCAATTTCTATCAATTTTGGTCACGACGGCCAAATGTGACCGGAAATATTCTTAAATTTTTTATTCATGGGCGCAAAACAGTCACTTTATGTTAAAAAAAAAAAAAATTATTTGCTTCTTCTTCCTCAACACCTCCGGCCAAATTAACGAAGACGGAAGCATGGCGAGACCCACCTACCCACACAGCAAGTTGATATACATAATCACAACGGTAATTGCTGTGAACATCACACAAATATTTGAAGGTGTATAAATATAAAAATCACTACCACCAATTTTTGTTTAAAAAAAAAAATGAAGGTTGTAGCCTCTTATAATAAGAACTATATCGATCATTTTATATCTAATTGGGAAATTCCAAATCTAACTCTTTCGATAAAAATAAACCACAAATTCTAACAGCAAAAAAGTAAGCACGATTTACTCAAACAAACCTTGATCATTGTGGCTAAGGTGATGCTATGGACCATGGATCTACCTGAGTTGCAGAGATTGAAGAGCCGACGAATTAGTTTTCCTCCTACTCCGGCTGCTTTTTTTCCGTCAACATCGGTGACAAACCCTAATTGCTTAACGTAAAATGACTGTTTTGCCCTCATAAATAAAAATTTAAAAATGTTTAAGTTTTTCCGGTCACATTTGACCGACAATTTGGCCAGCGTGACCAAAATTGATAGAAATTACATAGTCAAGGTACTAAATTAACATTTTTAAAAGTTAAGTGTTGCAATTAACACAAGTGTAATAGTCAGTAGACCAAAATTGAAATTTTATCTTTTTTTTTATAAATTATGATCTTACAAATAGTCTCACAATTAGAGCTATCAAAATGGGATAAGCTCAATAGCTTGCCTTAGCTCGCAATAAGGCGAGGGTAAGGAATGATTTTTTAAGTCCACCCTTCAAAGTAGCGAGTTCTATCCTATCAATCCACTTTAACATTATTACTCACTGGGACCGAAATATCATGTATTATACTATTAAAAAACATCTCAATCCACGCATATAGCTCAGTTGGCTCTTGAGTGGTATAATGTGGCAAGGACATAAGATCGAGACACAAACAACGTAATGTGGAAGTGACTTCTTGTAACTATCAGACATTATTTCTCTCATTTAATTTTTTTTTTTTCTAAAAAGGGGGGGAGCAGACCCAACAGTCAGTATATGACTCTCACTACATTCGTCTGGCCAAGCAAGCCTAACTCATCTTCACGCAAGATTCTTTGAACTTCACTCGGAGGGCTTTCGAACCACCTGATGGTATCATCCTGTTCGTAGGCGCGTTTGGTCATCATGTCAGCTGCTCTATTTTGCTCGCGGGGTGCATGGTTGAACCGGATTTCCCACTGGTGATTTCTCTCACTTAATTAACTGCTAAGTTACCGTAATTTATCTTTTCACAATCTTATCGACCTGAAATATAAATTATTGAGACAATGAATTTCACCTTTTGTAGGTAAAATAAAAAAAAATAAAAGAAAAAACTGAAATTAGATATATAATATCGCATTGGCTATGTTGGGTCATAAATCAAGCACTTTTGAAAGAAGAAAACAAAACTGAAATGTTGTCAGTGGGCTTTGTTAATGGGCCAGGGGCTCCACTGGACGCAAATTATGCTGTGCAAGCGAATGCACCTTGCAAGGTGCATACGGTTGCAAAACGGTGCCGTTTTGGTTAAAAAAACGCGCGTCTCACTTAAAGAAGAAATCAGGTTCGATTCCCGGCAATAGCATTTTTATATATCCAGAAATTCATAACTATATAACCACAATTTCATAACTATATATCCACAATTTCATAACTATATATCCACAGTGAATGAATGAAGTAAAAATTCACAATGAATGAATGAATGAAGTAAAAATCCACAATGAATGAATGAATGAAGTAAAAATCCACAATGAATGAACTAAATATCCACAATATATGATTGAACTAAATATCCACAATGAATGAACTAAATATCCATAAATTCATAACTATATAACCACAATTTCATAACTATATATCCACAATTTCATAACTATATATCCACAATAATGCTATTGCTGAGAGTCGAACCTGATTTTTTTTTTAAGTAGGACGCGCGTTTTTAATCAAAACGACGTCGTTTTGAACCGTATGCACCATGCGCATGGTACTTTCGGTTGCACAGCATAACTATTGCATAGAGAGAAGGGGCACCCTTTGTTTCCATTATTATTATTATTATTATTATTATTATTATTATTATTATTTAGCGATGAACATTTTACAGATATTATCTCATTCTTTTGTTTTAATTTTGAAAAAATGAATTGTATTATTGTCCACTGGACCGATTTGCCTGTCACACCGGGTTTGAGCTTTGTACGCAATGAAACATTCCCTTGAAATTATAGTTTGGGTGCTGAATTTCCTCTAAATCATTTTTTGGCCCCCAAGTTTGTTAAAATATACTGGGTAGTTAAGGATCATAGAAAGCTATTCTGGAAGATTACGGCAGAATCATATCCTTTGACAATCAAATTTTCCAGGACGCATTAGATTCTAATCCTTTATTCAGTGTGATTACTACTTCTGACCACAACATAATTATGCTGCATGTCTGTCACTAATTATGTTGTGTACCACGATTCCATTATACTCCATATGTACTACTCAAGCTTTTGTTTGTTTGTTTGTTTTTTTTTTTGTTTGTTTTTTTTGTTTGTTTTTGTTTTGTTTTGTTTTGTTTTGTTTGTTTGTTTGTTTGTTTTTACTATGGATTTATCATTTGTGAACCATTAACTATATATGGCTATGATTATACTAGAGTAAATACCCAAAATGGTCCCTCGACTATACTTAAATTAACAAATTGGTCCTTGACTTTCAATTTTAACCAATTAAGTCCTTAACTTTGCAATTTTAACACGATTTGGTCCTCCGTCTATTTGACCGTTTGTTGACTGTGCTTTTTGAGGATATATATATGTAATTTCATGGTCCATTGTCGATTTTTTAAGGTTCTGGTTGCATTTTCAGACTGCACTGTTACATTTGAATCCACCGCCAGAAGCAATCTGCCAAATCCTGTCGCCTTTCTTCATCCTCCCTTTGGATTCAATGTAGTTGAGTTCGTACCAGAGTGAAGATGACAACGTGTTTCTGAACCGGTGCAGCGTCATCCTGGAGGCCTCAATGTGCTTCGATGAGAGCTGCAGGTTCTTCTAGAGATCATCGATGACTGCGCAGGCGCGGGCGTTAATGCAAAAGTGTTCGAAGGACCAAATCGTGTTAAAATTGCAAAGTTAAGGACTTAATTGGTTAAAATTGAAAATCGATGATCAATTTGTGAATTTAGCTATAGTTAAGGGACCATTTTGGGTATTTATTCATTATACTACCATGTTATCTTATATAATCAAGGGAATGTGAATATGATAATATTATAATATTTAGTTCGATTCAATGAAATGTGAGGTAGTTATTATATTGTAGAGAATATAAAATTTTTAAATTTGATTTTTAGTTTTTATGGGTTTTTTAAAATAATATTTGTGGAATTGTGGGAATTGCATTCCTCCCACATATGTAAATACATAATGACCCTGTTTGGTAAATGGTTGTTGGCTATTAGCTGATTGGGTTAATTAGATGTATAACTAGTTGACAACATTAGCTAATTGTAGAAAAGTGTTTGGTAAGTTAGCTGTAGCTTTTTGGTATAATTTATTTTCTCAAAAAGTTAATTAAGAAAGCTCATTTGAACAGATTTTTTAATTTTAGCATTTTTAAAATAACAAAAAGCTAACTAACCAAACACTTATATTGATTTTTAACCAAGTCAAACAGTTAATAGTGATCAAATAAGCCAAAATCGATCTATAGACTAACTATTTTACCAAACAGGGCCAATGTGAAATTTTAGAAGAAAAAAAAAAAGTTACATTACCTTAAAATATCTCTTGAACCAAATTAAACACCCCTTAAATAAAATAGTTGATAAAATGAAGTTTTAGAAATGTTTGTAAAGAGCTTTTGTTATTCGTACATTTGAATTAAATGTGAGGTTTTGAATTATATGTTCACTTTTTAGAGATAGGGAGATATATTTATAGAAGGCTCTTTCACACTCGAGATGTAAATCATGGTCCGATTGTATTTTTAGCTTCCTTAGTTGTACACTCTTTCTCTTAGAAATTGTTTGGTTCAGGTTATCTCACATAACCTTGGAAATGTCGTAGATATAGCAATATCATGTTTCCTTATTTGGTTCAAGAGAATTGAGATACCACATTTTATTTCTAGTTTATTTTTTTGTAGCTTTCATGAAAATCACATTTTTAGTGAAATAAAAAAGTTTATAGTGATAACGATATCGTATACAAACATATTTACGTGTATATATATATATATATATATATATATATATATATATATATATATATATATATATATATATATTATTTTTTGTTATATAAATATTATTAGCATTAGTACTAATAGCATCCAATACAACAGGTAAGTTATAGCCTTGTAGAAGTATCATATAATGTCGCATTACGGATAACATATTGTTCTCTGTTTAGTAAAATAGTTAGCGTTTCAGTCAATTTTGATTTATTTGACCATTATTAACTGTTTGGCTTGGTTAAATAATCAATATGAGTGTTTGATTAATTAGTTTTTTGTAAC